TTATTGCTATTATTATTATTATTATTATTATTATTATTATTATTATTATTATTATTATTATTATTATTATTATTATAGTTGACTACTGAGGTTTGGCTCTCTGTTTTATTAGTGAGGGAATATGATAGAGACAAGAAGAATGATAAGGTGGTAATAGTGTGTGTGTATTATTATTATTAATGTACCATAGTACCTAGAATGAAAATAATATTATGCATACATGTATCTATGCTTAAAGGATATAAGTACCTGGTGTTTGTTTGAGCCTGGCTTTTATTTGAACATTTATGATACATGTAATATGCTACTTATCATAAGTTAATTTATCACTTAATTGTATTGTTACTTGATACTTTATCATAGGCTCCTCCTCCTGATTCCCTCCCTCCTCCTAACTGGGAGCTAACTGTCTCATTCAAACAATTACTGAGAGCCAATCATCAGTATATTGCCATGCCACGTCCACCACGCCCCTCAAACGCCAGACCGTACATCAGTCAGGAGATGAGGGAGGCTGGAGCATCAGCTTATAGCACAGCTGCTTTGAAACAACTAGAATATGAGTGAGTTATTGTATTTACCTGTAGTATAGGACTATAGGTAGTGGAGTGGTGCTTTTAATGTACTGTATAGCGGACATATTTTATCTGAAAAAATGATTGTTTTAAGCAGGATTAGAAATTTTTGTTTGTTTTATTTTCGTTTTTAGCAGCCATTTTTGCACACATGGCATTGAAGAAATGCCTTTTTTTGGACAATATTCATTCCACAAGAAATGAGAACAAAAAGAATGAAATTAAACTCTGACGGAATATACCCGCTATACTTTATTGGTTATAGATTAATTTTTAGAAAATTACAAGATTGTTACAATTTAATGTCATCATAATTTCTAGTTACTCAATTTTTAACAAGCTTCTCAAAATGGCAAGACACATTGATGCCCAGGGAAAGTGAGTTTTATCACTATTAAAAAATAGCCTCTTCATTTTTATTCATGAAATCTATTTAAAATTTAAAATTTTATTTTCTATTTATTTCTAGGGTTCATAATTGGTTGACTGAACTCTCTAAGACCAGTATAGACCCAATACTGACGGTAGTTCTTATTCCGTCTCTCTCCCTCACTTCCACAACATTTGCTGTAGCTTATACCAGCCACTCTGTCCCTTACAAGTAATGCAACACTTAACTTTTTATGTTGAAAAATACATTTGTGATCAACATAAGCATCCTTAAACATTTGTAAATATTTGGCCAAAAATAACTTCGAATTTGGCACAAGACCTTGTCAGCTATTTTCTTCTCTAAATTATTTTTCTCATACATACATGTACAAAACATGTACTGTACATGTATCAGGTACTTATCAATGCCCTTATGCTATAGAGAGAGTTTGAGATGATCCACACACGTGTGTGTGTACATGTATATGTACATGTACATGTACATCTATTATTGATTGATGTGATTCAAATAGTAAAGCAGTTATGAATAAGGCATTGTACATGTAACATAGTCCAACTCTTATTTATTATTAACTTCTATCATTATTAATACTTTAGTTGGAGGCTTGATATAACGCTAAGTGATGGTGTCATCACCTGGACTCAGAAACCAGACGGACAGCTAATGTCAGTACCAGTTGATAAGGAAAGACTATTAGGAGCTCTGAAACGCCAAGTAGATATAAAATTTATTTTGTTTATTTATTTATTTGATAATGTACATATTTCTTTTATATGTATGCATGTACTTTTTTTCATAAACTTTGCTTTTATTTCTTTCCTTACTACATTCAGGCTGTCCTGTATATTTTAAAGGCGATAGACCAAATAGCATTTGGCAAGAAATGGTGCAAGCTACTAGAGTCCACTCTACCTAATCCATCACTGATACTCATGAAACAAAAACTCCTGACATCCCTTGCTTCAAGCATACTGATTGAATCACCAAAAGGAACAAGGTATAATAATGAGAATGGGATAGCCCCTGTAATTATATCATTCATTTATTGTATGTATAGGTTGGAGCTACTAATAGAGTATGGTCAAGTTATAGCTAGTATAAGCACTGCTACTCATTCTCTTAGTGAGGAAGATATTGATACTGAGCATAAACCCAGTCAACAGTCGAATATCATTACACTCTCAGCTGCTAGTAATGGCGGAGCTGGTTTATTGAGTGGTGTTATTAAACTGATGGAGTCACTGAACTGAGCAACATTCATGTATTGATTAGTTTCTCATTTTGTGTTTTTAAAAGATTTTGCTGTAGAATGACAGCTTTGTGATGCTTGAAAATTTAGTTTTATGACAAAGTTGACTGATTTCATTAGTACTTTTTATCAGTTTATCCTGGGTGTGGTAACTGTGGTTGAAATTAAAGATAATTATTTTTGCTGCAAGAAGAAAGGAGAGATGTTTGATATTTTCTTTGAATATCTTTCTGATCTATTCAGTTTTCCTGTGGACAGGGTAAGTCTATAGCCTCAGATGTCTCTGGTATTGATCAGTCGCTCTAGGTCCGCTATGTGACACTGTTCCTTGTATCTTTTCCATTGGCTAGTCTCCTCCGTATTGTTCTTCATTATTCATACACTAGTCCTACCATCAGACACACTGTATCTGCTCTACTCGGCCTCCTCTTTGGATGGATGTGCTTTCAATGGTACCTTATCAACAAAATAAATCATAATGCTTTTTTTTGTAGGCAGGTATTTTATCTGATAGGGTTTGTATCAGTTGGTTACATATTACTAATCACACTACCACCAACCATTGTACAAAGGTGAGTTTGACAGTATAAACTTTACTATACTATATTTCTTTTGTCTTCCCCCCCTCCCTCTCTCTCATTAGATATTCAATGATATATGCCCTCATTGGTATTAGTACTGGACACATTTATCGTTTAATAACTGATTATGGAGGATACACTCTTGACTTTACTGGGTAAGTGCATGGACCGATACAGTACATGTACATTCTATTATACAATTGATGCATTCACAAAGCACACAATAGCATGATATCAAGTACTTACATTCACATGTACTATAATACCTCTTTCCCTCTCACTTCCTTCCTTTAGTCCACTGATGCTGCTGGTTCAAAGGGTCTCCTATGTTGCTTATGCTTATCATGATGGTAATAGTTTCTTATTGATTTTGTATATACAATGTACCAAGCAATAATTATTACTAAAGAAATATCTTAGTAATGTTAGTATGTATATGCTGCCAGTTAGTATGATTGTCCTGGCAAAATAGAAGTCTTATTGCATGTTTATTTTTGGTTACATGGCTCATATATGTGTGTTCTATACTTAATCACTTTTTTACACTTTTTTGTGTGTACGTGTATATTAGGAGTAGCAAGGGATGAAAAGGATCTCAGTGATGATCAAAAGAAACTGAAAATTAGGTAAAGCATCACAGTACATGTACATGTACATGTACATGTACATGTACGTGTACAATTGTACATGTATTTATAGCACTGTTGATGTGATATACAGTATATGATGCAGGGTTTTCCACAAAGCATGCTATACAGCTTTTTTAACAACTTTAAAAATTTGTAAAAAATTTAATTAGTAACGCGGTAGCGTTACTAAGTAGGATTCACCCCCAAACAAAATGGCTGCCACGACTTTTGCAGCCTTGTTATACCAGGAAACAGGGGCGTAGCTGAGGTAGGGCCTGAGGGGGCCTGGGCCCTACCATCAAAGTGGCCTTATAATTATATTCATAACCCAAAAGG